TGTCCAATAAATGTCCAACTAGCCATTATAATATGCAATCACAAATGGGTTGACATTATTTATACAGTTATTACAATAATGCAGTAGTCTGGAAAACAGTAAATCTATTTTTTTGTGTGAATAAAAATTCAAAATAGAAAGCAAGAGTATTATAAGAGACGTGACTGATGAACAGAGAAAATGTTATGTTAGTGCCAGGAATGTCTGCATTGTTCATTCTAGACCCTGTTTGGAAATTGGCATATTTTTTAATTTGTGTGAAATTGGCCAAATTGCCAATTTCTGACCACTTTATTGGGTAGTTGAAATTGGTAAATGGGCGGTTTCTTGTACTCAGTCAATAGAACAAAGGGAGTTCTAAAGAAATAGCTATGAGTTTGGTTGACTGGAACAATGGAATTGGCCGAAAATAAGGCCCAAAGTGGGTGAAATCGCCTATGTGTAAATATTGCCGAGATTGCTAACTTCGTAAGAGTGTAATTCTACAAGTTTTCCATCAAATGTTGTACTTTTGGTGTTATTAGCATCGGGAAAAGATTATCATTTCATGAGAGAATTTTTTTTTTTTTTCAAATATTTTGTGACAGTGAGAGACTCTAGGATTGGGGTTTGCGACAGTCAAAGGCTTAAGGCACACGGAATAGGAGGAGACATTTTTTCCTGGGTAGAGGCATAGTTGACAGATAGGCAGCAGAGAGTTTGCATCAGTGGGGAGAAATCAGATTTGGGGCATGTCACGAGTGGTGTTCCACAAGGGTCAGTGTTGGGCCCTTTGTTGTTCACAATTTATACAAACAAAGTTGATGAGGGAATCAATAGGGACATAAGCAGTTTTGCTGATGACACCAAAACAGGTTGCCTAATTCATTCTAATGAGGACATTGGAGCACTCCAGGAAGATTTGAATAGACTGATGCAGTGGTTGGAGAAGTGCAAATACAAAGTTCTAAATATTGGACAAGAAAATAACCATGCCACATATAAACTAAATAATGTAGATCTTAATATTACTGATTGCAAAAAGGATTTAGGAGTTCTGGTTAGCAGTACTCTAAAACCAAGACAAGAATGCATAAGTGTTTGCAATAAAGCAGACAGAATCCTTGGCTTCATATCAAGGAACATAAATAATATGAGTCCTCAGGTTGTTCTTCAACTCTATATATCTTTGGTTAGGCCTCATTTAGATTATGCTGCACAGTTTTGGTCACCGTATTACAGAATGGATATTAATGCACTGAAAAACGTACAAAGGAGGATGACAAAGTTGATCCCATGTATCAGAAATCTTCCCTATGAGAACAGACTGAGGGCCCTGAATCTGCACTCTCTAGAAAGGCATAGAATTAGGGAGGAAATGATTGAGGTGTATAAATGGAAAACAGGAATAAATAAAGGGAATGTAAATAGCGTGCTAAAAGTATCTAGCCCAGACAGGACTCGAACTAATGGTTATAAGTTGGAAAAATTCAGATTCAGGAAGGATATAGGGAGGCATTGGTTTGGTAATAGAGCTGTGGTTCAGTGGAACAAACTCCTGAGTACTGTCATAGAAGCTAAGACGTTGTGTAGTTTTAAAAATAGGGTGTGGGTGGGTGTGAGTTGGACCTGACTTTCTTGTACTAATAGGTCTGATGCCATGCTCCTTCCTTAACCCTTTCAGGGTTTCGGCCGTACTAGTACGGCTTACACGCCAGTGTCCATGACGTACTAGTATGCATAAATTCTAGCGCCATCAAATATAGTGAGAGAAAGCTGGTAGGCCTACATATGAAAGAATGGGTCTGTGTGGTCAGTGTGCACAGTATAAAAAAAAATCCTGCAGCACACAATGCGTAATGAGAAAAAAATAACTTTGACCGCGTTTTGGGATTAAAACAGCGACTTTGCACTATATTTTCGTATGGTATTTATCGTTGTATTTTAGTTTTCCTGGTCTCATTGTATAGAATGGAAGACATATTACAGAAATTGAGATAATTTTGACTGGTTTTACAATGAAAAGTACCTTGAAATTGAGTTTAAAGTAGTAGAAATGTTCGATTTTTACCAAAATTCAAAAGTAAACAAATAATGATAAGCGTCCAATACACGTCAACTGGTGAGTCTAATATTCTTTCACAAGTGCGCCGATATTATTTATACCATTTCTACACTAATGCAGTAGTCTGCATAACAGTAAATCTTATTTTTTTTTTTGAGAATAAAAATTCAAAATGGAAAGCAAAAGAAATGTAAGAGGGGCCTGGGGACGTGACTGATGAACAGAGGAAATGTTATTTTAGTGCCAGGAATGTCTTTCTTGTTTATTCTGGACCCTATTTGGAAATTGGCATCTTTTGAAATTTGTTTGAAATTGGCAAAATTGCTAAATTCTGACCACTGTATTGGATAGTTGAAATCGGTAAATTGGTGGTTTCTTGTACTCATTCGATAGAAAAAAATGGAGTTCTAGCGAAATAGATATGATTTTTGTCGACTAGTACATAGGAATTGGCCGAAAATAGGGCTCAAAGTGGGCAAAATCGCCGATGCTTAAACATTGTCGAAACCGCTAACTTCGTGAGAGCATAATTCCATAAGTTTTCCATCAAATTTCATACTCTTGGTGTCATTATGTTCGGTAAAAGATTCTCTATCTTTTCTTAAGAAAACTAATTTTATTTTTTTTTTGAAATTTGGGGGACCCTGAGAACAAGTCTCTGAGAGGGCCTGTGGACCCTGAAAGGGTTAAGTGAATGTGGTCTGACCTGACTAGGTGGGTCATTGGTCTATGCCAGGAGGTGACTTGGGCCTGCCTCACATGGTATGGAGAACTGGTTAGACAAGTACACTTTTCTGCATGAAACAATATACATACATGCATATCATTTGTTACTTATCTGTAACAGCATGATGTCCAGCAGCTGCCACCTGGCCATCTATTCGGGGTGCTACTCAGTTACCACCAGGGCTGTAGATTAATGTGGTTAATTATATAATTTGCCCCCAAAGGAGCGTATATTTCAGCATTTCACATCTGAAACGCTTAGTGAAACTCACTTGGTTTGGGCTTTAAAGCCCTCCGATAACGGCCTGGAATAGGACAGCCCTAATCACCTTGTGTCTGCCCAAAACTGCAGTTTTTAATTGGTGTTACAAAAGATTAAGACTTACCTTGCTTGTGTAATGTGAGCTTATGGTGTTGACAGCGCCATTAAGACTGATATCGTTGACATGACTGGACTGAAGGCTTGAGTGTCTCAGGGAATGTTGCACTGATGTTCACCACTACATCAGGAATGTTCGTTGCAATTACTCGCAATACTGGTTGCACTTCACCATTCAGTTCCATCATTTGTTCATAGTTTTGTGGTATTATCCACAACAGGAAGAACATGGATATGCAATAAAACTATGTGATTAGTTCTACTGTGAATTTACTGGCTTGTATAAGGGAACTAGTTTAACTTTTCTAGTTTCCTGAGATTGTCAGAATGAACAAGAGTCAAAACACACTGGTCACTACTGTCTCTTTGTCTTTTAACGATAAGGAGGCAACACCCTCATGACACACATCGCTCGTCCATTCCTTGAAGCAATCTGAGGCCCGCCTGCCTCATCACCCTTCTCCTCCTTGTCCCCACAGAGGATATGCTGAACTCAGCTTTATTTCTCTCCCTTGCTACATATTGTAACAGTATTCAACACATGATGGTAGATTTCTTGTTATCTAGCTATAGACTGCAATTCATAATAGTCCTAGCTGGTAGATAAAGTGGGTGCAGGTTTGCCCTTAATTTTCCTGCTTAGGGCAAAGAGTAATTAATCTAGTTTAACTCTCACTTGTAATTGCAACAAGAACTAGCAAGGAGAGGAAAGCGTGCCTCTTGACGATGGTACGAATATGTGGGTTCTATCAAGTTGTTTTTGAGGAAGAGTCCACTAGCACCTTCTGGGAGGGCTAAATCCCTCACAGGGCTGAGGGGGGCTGAGAGATACCCCCTTTACTGGAAAATTTTCTCTACACATGGTCCAGTAGGCCTGCTGCAGTGTTCTTTCTTTCTTATGTTAGTTGGAGGCTCTGTAATTATCTTTTTTGTAGCTACAGGAGCATAACAAAACTCAGATACTAAAGTATCTAATTCTTCATATAATCTTTTAACATTTCCTGTGGTAGTATTTAATACCTCCCCTTGTAACCCATTCCATTGTTCTATAGCTCTGCACAGTGTTTTGCTTACATATTTCTTTCAACTTTGTGTTGCTCTGTTAAACAAATCGCTTTCACTACTTCACTTTTTTCTTCATGAGAACTAAATTACAATAATTGTTTTTCTTTGTGAGAACTAAATTATAATAAACTTTTTCTTTGTGTGAACTAAATTATAATCAACTTTTGAAGTTATTGTGAGCAAAGACTCTCTAGGATTCCAACATTTAACAAAAGCACAGTATTATAACTTTTAATTTAAAATAAAATATAAATTATTTAATTCGTCAGCAGTTTTAATAAATTCAGTAAAGTACCTATTATATAAACAATGACTAACTAGACTTTCATTTATGCAAACTTCAGGTAATTACCAACAGCCTGACTGGTCATGGACTGAGCTGTGCTTGGCAGATTGAGGATAAAGCCTCTACCACTCCTTGAGTGGACTGACTTACATGAGTTTAGTACTTTTAAGAAACAATACAATACACATTTTTTAATGATCTTCAAATTGCAATGTGTGTTAGAACAGCTTAAACATGGAATTTTACACTAAGCAGTCATCTTTTATGTCTTCTCTCCTGCTAGATGCATTCACTATAGCTAACTTACACTCAGCAGTAATAATTTTTTCATTCTTCTTCCTCCTCTTCTTCTTTTTCTTCTTTTTCTAGATATTTTCACTTTTAGTTAACTTACACTTACCTGTAATCATCTTTTATCTTATGTCTTTTCCTAAATGTATTCAAAAATGTATTAATGCTTCTGAAAGGAAAATGACACTTGTCTTTCCCCTATTGTCCAGTCATTACGACAAATGACGAGAGATGGGCCAGCATCCCTGCAAGAGGAGGAGAGCCTAAATGAGAAGCTGCATGAAAGTGAAAAGCTCATCACAAACCTCTCAGAAACTTGGGAGAACAAACTCAAGAAAACAGGTGCCACAAATACTCTCTTAGTTACTGTTGATGAACCATAAATGATAAGAGAATTCCCTAATTTTTCTGATACAAATTAGTCATTGTTAGATTTTAATATTTGATGTAGTAATAGTTATAGTGATTTTTTTTGGCTGGTCACATAAAAAATTACTGTAGGTATTAACTTTGTTTAAAGTGAAGAAATCTTTACTAACACAGTTACATTTTTAGCTAGCAAGTTATATAACAGTATCAGTTTTTTTTAACACACTGGCCATGTCTCACCAAGGTAGTGTTAGCAGAAAAACAGAGGAAACACATTCACCTCATTCATTCAAATTCTGTCTTGCTAGAAGCGTGCTGACATCATGGTTCAGATGACCCTCTGAACTTCACTATCCCTACCCCTTTCCCCAGAGTTCAGGCACTGTATTTTCCATTTCCATGATTCAAATCCAAGTAACCCGTTCTCCCTGAATCCCAATGGAAATATTTATTACCTTGCTCACACTTCAACAGCACATAAAGTCATAAAAACCACTTGCTTCCACTCCTGTCTAAAGTGCTCACACAAGACTGTTGGATGTTTAAGCATTTGGCACTCGAACCTTCTTTAGCCCCTCCCATCAACCCTTCTTGGGAGAAGCACTACCTCTCCTTTCCTCTGCCTCAGATTTATATACAGTATACAACAGTAGTATTACATATTGTATTATGAATAATTGTATTCTTTAAAGGATCTTGCCTTAGGTTCATGAAACTCAAGTACTGTACTTCTATCAAGTTATGGTAGCAATTAATAGAACTGAAGGCTGAAATATTTCTGTTTTCCCTTCTGTCTTCAGTTATTATTTTTCATTTGTAATATATCAGCTATCTCCCACCAAGGCAGGCTGACCCAAAAAAGGAAAAAATATTCCATCAAAATTTCCTTCAGCCTTCCTTGCAGTGCTCTCTGGGCTGTCCCATACCCCTCCTTCCATCCACCTCAGAGTTATACACACTCTAGTTCAACTTATCTTCTCCATTATTTTTTAATTGACTAAACCATCTCAGTAGATCATTTTTTGCTTTCTATAATGCCTTTCATACTACTATTTTTTTTGTTTCTTTGCTCTGTTTTCTATGCTTAATATTCCAAACCCCCCATTGCTCTCAAATATGGCATTTCTACTGCCTCCAGAGCCCTTGGCATCACTGTACTCTAATTCATTTCCCTCTTAGCATCCATTGATGACTTCTTTTCACAGACTTTTCATCACTTCATCTACTTTGTTCTCGTCATCTATTCTGTGGTTCATTTCATCTTTCATATACCATTGGGTAACACACTCAGTCCATATATTTAGATATACTTCCTTTCTCCACTCTCACCTTCCTCTTCAATTTTTTTCTGAATCTTCCAAAAGCACTGCAGGTGGGAGCAATTGTGGCAGTGCCCACTTAATATTATGTTCATTACTGGCATTTATATATAACACCATTATATTAAACATCCATGGCCACATCACACATTCCTGTTTAAAGGAAAATTGTTAGGTAAGACACATATGCAACAGTGAGGTATCTTTATTATGAAACGTTTCGCCTACACAGTAGGCTTCTTCAGTCAAGTACAGAAAAGTTGATAGAAGCAGAAGATAATTGAAGACGATGTAATCAGTCCATCACCCTTAAAGTTTTGAGGTGGTCAGTCCCTCAGTCTGGAGAAGAGCATTGTTCCATAGTAGGAACAATATGGAGAAGAAGTGACAGGATGGAGCTTTTTATAGCGCCAAGAGGTGAGACGTAGGAGAGGTAAGAACTCAGATGTTGAGAGGTCCCTCTCAAATCCAGCCCCTCTCACTAGATACCTCACTGTTGCATATGTGTCTTACCTAACAACCTGTCGGTATTTTATACCATTTTAATGTTAAAGGAAAATTTTAATAGGAAGTGTATCCCTATAAATCTGCATTTCCATTATAAAAATGCCTTTATGCATCATGGGTCATGGGGAAAGGAGGGGGGGGTTGTTCACCAGGAACACATCATGCCTCATGCACATCAGTACTCATATCTCTGCTCATAGCAGGGTCCATTTCATATTTTACACTCAGTATAAGATTCCTTCACTGCTTGCTATAGTAGTTTGCTAGTAATGACTGATGTCAGCTGGGAGCCTAGCAGTGCACCACACACCAGTCAGCATTTGGAACATAACAACTGGGGCAGGTGGAGGAAATTCTTGGCTCCCAAATGCAGAAATGTGTTTTTCTAATTAAAATAGTTATCTCCTGTGGTAGTCCTAGGGGACTTACTAAGAATCATACCACTAGTATTAACAAACTGAGGTGGCAGCTTTGAAATAGTGACAGAAGCCCTTTGGACAGGTAGTTGTACAGACCATAGTCCAGCCAGAGGTAAGGCTGCTTTGATCTGACTACTGATATGCATGCCAGCCTTGCTCATGAATGTGAAAGCTTTTGAACAGGACTCTTAAGCTAAACCTGAATTGGGAGGAGGAAAGTCAAGTGAGCTGAGGGACATTCCAGCACTACCATTGAATCTACAGGAGCAGTGGTCATACATTCACCAGAGGTCATCCCCAAATGCCTCCTGTAAGGCCTCAGAGAAGCTTACCCATGGGAAATCTTTATAAAAGCCTTCATCATCTGATAATATGTGTTCCTAATCTCCCAGAACACACAGCTCACATTGTCAAGCAGGGTCAAATTCCTTGTAAGCCACACAAATGTAGTGTCTCCAACAGGAATTCTGAAGGAGCAGGAGATATACAAGCAGATCCTAAGCAATATTCCCAAAATAGGTGTGGCAGTAGGCCTATGTCGAAGAGAAAGAGTAAAACTGTTGACAGTAGGACAAACAAATGATGACTGGGTATTGCAAGGCTCCCAGCTGACATCACTCATAAATAGCAATCCACTATAGCATGCACTGATAATGGGGGACCTTATACTACAAACCACGGTACGGATGGGGTTAGACCCATGGCAAGTGAATCTTTAAACTCAAGGCCAGTGAGCTAAAGTTCATCACTGCCATGCTGGCAGGAGATTCATCTGTAAAAACTTGCATTTGTGGTCACAGTGGGCCTATGCTAATGTCCCTATGGTGTGTAAATATACCTGGTTGGATGACTCTTATTGTAGCCAACTAGCCTAGTGGCTTGTGCACTGGCCTGGAGTTTTACAACTCATTTGCCATGGGTTCTAACCCCACCAGTACCATGGTTTGTTTACAATCATATTTTTGCAATTTCATGGGTCATGAAGACTTGATACTGATTGTAGGATGTGAGTGAGAGACCCTGCTGGGGCATTGAGGTTATCACTGGTGTGAATGAGGCACAATGTGTTCCTGGCAGACTTCTAGGGCTTCCATAACAGAATTTTTTAAGAATGCTTTTGTTGATGCAAGCTGACTTGAGTGCCTCCACTTATAGCAATTCTATCCATAAATATGAATTCCACATCTAACACAATGTTATGCTTCTTGTTTTCAGAACGCGTGCAGCAGGAGAGACAACAGGCCTTGGAGAAGATGGGTATCAGTGTACAGGCATCTGGTATCAGCGTTGAAAAAAATAAATATTATCTTGTTAACCTGAATGCTGATCCATCACTTAATGAGATGCTTGTTTATTACCTAAAGGTATTTATTGGTTTGTTGTTCTTGCTGCTTGAGGTTTGAGGATTGTGTTTTGTTATGTTTTGAAATAATTCACATGAGTCAACAACTGTACATTGATGGAGATATAATGGAAATTTTTAAAGAAATATTATATGCTTAAAATTTTTGAGGCACATCAAAGCTAATACCATATAAATAATAAATGACTGTAAGTCCGAAAAACAATGTTTGGGGGGCTTCAAGCTTGATATTAAGACTGTATGTCTAACCCTGGCTTTGTCAGCATCAAAATAATTGTCTGCTAAGACACGTAAGGCTAGGTGATAATTGCCTGTAACCTCCGGAAATGACTTAATCAGTTCATAGGGTTCTTCCTTCACAAGACATTTAAGATAATTGAACTTAACAATCTTATCTATGTCAGTTCGTGAATTTACTATGGATTGAAAACCACTTAATAAATTCTTCGTAGTTATGACCTTAGAAAATGGGCAATGATAAGATAGGTAAGCTTGGTAATGGGATACCTGTTGTGGCAATTGTTGTGACAAGTGTAACAGGTGTCTGATCACTAGTTACAGTAGGTCTCTGTGACAGAGTTTTGCGGCAGGTAGCCTGTACTCCTGTCCACCTTAATTGTTGATCACTAAAAGTACCCAAAACATTTTTAATGTCATCCTCAGATGGATTTGATTCTAGGAATTCACTTTCATATTTTGTATAATCTGAATTAATTATTTTCATATGTTGAGTAAGTAATTCCAGATTTGCCTCAAGATCATCAAAATCTATGTTTGTATCTTGAGTTAGCCCCATACAGACTGAAATTAATTGTTCTAATTGTGTAATCTTAGTCTGTAAAGAGGTAAATTGAGTATTCAAACAAGCCATTATAATGGGATACTGATAATTCTAGCACCACACTTTAGAGTGTTTACACACTATACTGTTATAACAGCTGAGAGTTATGCTCGAGTCAGCAATAATCGAGTCAGACACTACTGACCCACTAAGCATAACCTCAGAGTCAATGACCTTGAAGGGTACAGAGTACATATGACTGGATGATTCCAGTTGTCCTGTGTGATGTGGTCTCAGCTTGGAACACTGCTGAGTCACTGTAAATAATGTTAAACACTTCATTCACTAAACATCTATATAAATGTCACTGTATAACTGTAAATCACATGTGTATATTTCTTACACATATATAAATGTCACTGTTAATATGTGAAAGCTTACACTTTACAGTGGAACCTCAAATTTCGAACTCTTTGAAAATCGACCGCTTTTTTCGAACCAACTTTGTCCCCATTATTGAACTCGCCCCTTTTTTTGAACCGCCGGGTACCAGACCTGTCCACCAGCCCGCTCTGTCCATGTCCCCGCGCAGGCGCCATGAGCCAGTCTGACTTTGTTGATGCTTGAGTGAACACTAACCTGCGGTCTCATTCAAACATTTTACGATTAATTCATTGTGTTTAGTGCTTGTGGGACTGTGAAATAAGCTACCATGGGCCCAAAGAAACTTGCTAGTGGTACCCCTGTGGTAAAGAAAGTAAGAAACACCATAGATGTGAAGTGAGTGGCAAGGATGTGGGAGAGTTGGTGGAGGACCACAGGGAAGAACTAACCACTGAAGAGATGGAAGAGCTTCATCTTGAACAGTATTAGACCACAGCTCAGGAACTTGCTTCAGAGGAGAAGGAAGAGGGAGTGGATGAGGTACCTTCTTCAAAGATTAAGGAGATTTGTGCCAAGTGGAATGATGTCCAAATGTTTGTGGAGAAGTACCACCCTGAGCAAGCTGAAACAAGCCATCTTTGCAACAAGTTCAGTGACAGAACCATGTCCCATTTTAGGGAAATCTTAAAGAGGCACCAGAAACAGAGGACTGTGGACAGTTATTTTGTGAGACAGGGGTCCAGCGACTCTCAAGCTGGTCCTAGTGGCATTAAAAGACAGAGAAGGGAAGTAACCCCAGAGAGGGCTTTGATACCTAAAGTCCTTATGGAGGGGGATTCCCCTTCCGAACACTAACCCCAACTCCCTCTCTCCTCCTCCCTATCTTCCAGATGCCATCACCAGTCTTCATTAAAGGTAAGTAAAAATGTTATTTTATATGTTTATTTAAATTTATTAATAATTGTACACTATATTTGTTGTGTGTATTTAACCCTTTGACTGTCGCGGCCGTATATATACGTTTACGAGGTACCGTGTTTGACGTATATATACTCATAAATTCTAGCGGCTTCAAATCAGGCAGGAGAAAGCTGGTAGGCCCACATGTGAGAGAATGGGTCTGTGTGGTCAGTGTGCACCATATAAAAAAATCCTGGAGCACGCAGTGCATAATGAGAAAAAAAAAACTACGACCGTTTTTTTAATTAAAATGCCGACTTTGTGGTCTATTTTCGTATAGTATTTGTGGTTGTATTCTCGTTTTCTTGGTCTTATTTGATAGGATGGAAACTATATTATAGAAATAGAGGTGATTTTGATTGATTTTACTATAAAAAGAACCTGGAAATGGAGCACAAAGTACGGGAAATGTTTGATTTTTGCCGATGTTCAAAAGTAAACAAATGATGTCATTGTCCAATAAATGTCCAAATAGCCATTCTGATATGCAGTCATGAATGGGTTGATGTAATTTTTACAATTATTACAATATTGCAGTAGTCTGCATAACAGTAAATCTTCTATTTTTTGTTTGAATAAAATTTCAAAATAAAAAGCAAGAGTAATATCAGAGGGTCCTGGAGGCATGACTGATGAACAAAGAAAATGTTATTTTAGAGCCAGGAATGTCTGCATTGTTCATTCTGGTCCTTATTTTGAAATTGTCATATTTTTTAATATTCGTGAAATTGGCCAAATTGCAAATTTCTGACCATGTTATTGGGCAGTTGAAATCGGTATATGGGCAGTTTCTTGTGCTCAATCGATGGTAAAAATGGAGTTCTGAAGAAATAGCTATGAGCTTGGTTGACTGGAATAATGGAATTAGCCGAAAATAGGGCTCAAAGTGGGCGAAATCGCTGATTTGTAAGTATTGCCGAGGTTGCTAACTTTGCGAGAGCGTAATTCCATCAGTTTTCCATCAAATTTCGTTTTTTTGGTGTCTTTACAATCGGGAAAAGATTCTCTATCATTTCATAAGAAAAAATAACTTTTTTTTTTTTTTTTTAAATTTTGTGACATCAGGAGACACCTCAGGATTGGGGGTTGCGACAGTCAAAGGGTTAAAACTATAATGTAATACTATCTATAAAATGTATTTTTTTGTGAATATTTTTGGGCTTCTGGAACGAATTAATTGTATTTCCACTATTTCTTATGGGAAATATTGCTTCACCTTTCAAATTTTTTCGAATTTAGAACTAGCTCCTGGAACCGATTAAGTTCGAAATTTGAGGTTCCACTTTATATATAATCTCCTTTAATATAACAGTTAAATCTATAAGAGACAAACATAAACACAATCTCATCCTTAATTTCTTTCTATAAACATTATAAACACTATTTGTATATATACACTCAACACAAACTGAACGTCATCTGGCTTGATGCTATGTCATTACTTCTTACGGTTGAGAGTCGGCTGTGGATGACGGATGGGTGATTGGGTGAGCCAGTCAGCCCCTGTTTTCTGTTGGGTATGACGGGTGACTGCTGGGTGAGCGCCTCCCATTTTCTATTGCTAGCAGTGGCCCCGCATTCTCTCTGATTGAGTCTGGAGGGACTCATTTATTCTGATTTATATTGTAAAAACACAAGTTTTACAGCTTTTTTCGAAGGACCTTGGCTTGTAATTTATTTGTACAATGTAGTACAAGTTTTGGACCACCATGTGGCCACATATCCAGTTCAAGCACGACCAGCTTCTAGGGAAATGCTACAAGCTAAGTCAAAGGGTAAAAATGATGTAATGGGACTTATCTTGAAAGATAGCTCTCACCTACACAGCCATCCGTGTAGGTGATGTCTTGAGAAGCTGTCGTATGCACTTCCTAATGGCTGTGTGAAAAAATGTATAAGTATAATTACCCCTAGGGGGTGTTGTGTCAGTACATATTTCAATAACTGAATACTGACGGGAATATGTACTTACTTGTGTTGGGCTATAAAGCCCACCTATAACCGAGTGTATGGTACATCTAGGAAGAAATGAACCAGCTGTCTGCTACACAGCTGACCTAGCTAGTAACATTTATGACTAGACCTACCTGGATGTCTGTATCGAACCCATATTTTCACTCAGGTATCAGTGCCTTGATTGAAGCAGATGTGTTCTTTGAAGAATGTTGCACTACACTGTCAGGATTGCAACACTTGTTATACACTGTTCATCAAGTATTGTTTATCATTCACAGTCTTATCACTAAAGAAGCTGATCACACCTCTGTATCTGCTGTATCTATTGAGATACTTTTATGTACACAAAGGCGTGGCGCAGTGTTCTTTGTTCATTATCCCAGTGTCAATGTGTCTCTTGGCAGGGTTAAAAGCAATCTAAGCTAAGATGCTCCTTGCCGCACTTCGCTTGTCCCCAGCTACAAAGGAAAAGGCTGACATAGAATATTTCCCCTGCTTGCCAAACTTCCACCAGGAAGCAATGCAGAATGCTTGATTCTTGCTGTCTGGGCATAGACAGCAATGTACACTATCTTTAACATGGTAATAAAGTGGGTGCAGGTTTTCCTTAATTGTCCTGCTAAGGTAAGAGATTGATTGTCTCTCATTAAACTACACTATTTGCAACACTGGTCTCTTGCAAAGAAGTCACACGACCTATAACTGGTACACGCTGGTTAACCCTTTGAGGGTTTCGGCCATACTAGTATGGCTTACGACCCAGGGTTTTTGACGTACTATTTATTATTATTTTTTTATTATCACACTGGCCGATTCCCACCAAGGCAGGGTGGCCCGAAAAAGAAAAACTTTCACCATCATTCACTCCATCACTGTCTTGCCAGAAGGGTGCTTTACACTACAGTTTTTAAACTGCAACA